GTAAAATATAAATCTAAAAACCCATGTTCCACCCAAATTACAGTTATTCGCATTTTAAAAACTGAAAATAATAAAGCTATGATAATTAAATGGGTTAAATTTGAGTATCGCTTGTCATTCGTCTCAAAATACCTAAAAAAACCAGGCGTAAAATCTTACAATAAACATTACCCTAGCGCACTTTACTATTTTTACCGAAGCGTAAAGATAACAATAAAACTTTAAAAATATTGCGTAATTAAAACTTTTCAGTTAGTAAAAAAACAATTTCAAAATACCCAATTTTATTAACAAAATGAAAAAAAAATGTTTTAGTTCACAAAAAAACGGATTATAAGCATAATATTCGTTAGTGTATATCACCATTCAACAATACATTCGTGTTATCACTAGAAAAACTACTTTTTCACAATTTTGACGCGCACAACTGTTGAGTGCCCTATGTTCAGATGACATAAACATAGTGATCAACTTATTTTCCATTTCAATACAAATAAACAGGCAATGTAAACTTTCGGTCGCCCAGCGCCATCTCTCTGCGGCCCGTGGAAGTGCGCTAACCGCTCGCAAGGTCACCGTGTCAACGACCCGACAACTTTTGCCGCCTACTGTTGTCGTAGGTCATAATTTTATGTCTTCTTTTTGTTTATCTTTTCGTAACTTTATAGCTCCCGCGTAAACGTTTTTGTTTATGGTAACAGTTGTAAAAGTGTTTGCGGCCATTTGTATTTTTCTTAATTTTATTGTAAAAACATTACGGTGATAATAACAGTTTGTTATGTAACATTGTTTTTATAATAAATATGTAGTAGGTATAGGTGCTTAAGCTAACATGACATGCTTTTGGATTACAAATAAATGATGTAGTGGATTTAAGTGTTTAATATTTATAGATAAATTGAAAGCATGATTGTTCAACGTCATTGCAGCGATTTAGATGTACTGTAACTACCCACAGCAAATGATTATTTTTAGTTAACTGTTTTAAGTTCACATTATGATTTCTGACATTTCTTTTAGGGTGTTATTTTTTACTTTTCATTTTTCTTCTGATATATTTGTTGTCACAGGGAAAAATTACAAAAAAGTTAACTAATAAAAGGAGTACAATTATTTATTCTACTTTTTAAATTAACGTATTTGCCTTATGACTTTAAACTTATGAACCATAATAATGAAATTATTAGTGAATACAGCCAGGCTAGCACTAGGACAATATTGTAGAAGGTGGAGCGTGTGACATGAACGTTATTTATTCGTTGATACACGATAATGATAACTTTTGTTACATTACCTTTATATAAAATATTCCTGAAATCCATCTGTTGGCCTACAGATAACCAAAATTCTCACAAATTATATTACGAACACACAAAATCAGTGTAGGACGCTCGGTTAGGCAACCATTTCTATAACATAACAAAACTTGAATAGAACGAAATAGTACAACGTATGTGTTTTTGTTACAGCAGACGCGACGCCACAATGGCGACCAAGGGCAAGCGTCCAATGCGAGCGCTGACTCCCAGCGATAAGATCGAAGCTATACAACGCGTAAACGATGGAGAATCGAAGGCATCAGTAGCCCGCGACATCGGGGTGCCCGAGTCCACGCTACGCGGCTGGTGCAAGAATGAAGACAAACTGCGTTACATGACCTCTCGGCTATCTTCACCCGATACCGACAAAAGCAACGACGGTGAGCCACCAGACAAGCGCGCACGAACGGAATCCCCTGCCGCTCCACCGTCGCCGGCGGCCACTGGACTTGATTTATCTACGCCTGTCAGCTCTGCCCCCATCGTGCAGCAGCCAACCCCTTCTCTTGACGCTCCCGTCGAGCTAACTACTAAGCGTGCTGTACCATCTCCAACGTCGCATATACCTCGTGAACGTCGACCAGACCCTGGAGCTAGCGTCTCCATGAGCGCCATAAGTCCATTATCGGGTTTGCCTCATCTGCCTGGGCTTACTCACTCGCATCTCGGACTCAGCTTTAACGAGATAGCCACTAATCTAACTTTACTCGCTCAATTAAACCCAGGATTATCAGCATTGTCTGCTCAGCCTGCTAGTCGCGCACTGCGCTCTGTTCGATCTCCTAAGCCTGCACACAACGGAGTACTCAACATGAATGATGGGAAACATCATCATCGCAGCAAGACCCACCATCATCATTCAGATCCGTATCGCACAAGCTTGTCAAAATCCAATCACCATAGTACGTCGCACTCGTCTATAGCTAACCAGCCAGTAGACGACACTCTCTGGTATTGGTTAAAAACACAGCAAGCAATGATGGACCTCACCGCACAAACTACAACCGCGCATCCATTGCAACTTGGAAAACCAAGTGAGTCACCTATTCCACCTAAGCCCATAGCCCCAGCAGCACCGATCAATTCTCACTTAGATTACAACAGAAACTCGTGGCTGTGGCAGTATTACAAACAGTTTGGTGGAGCCATGCCCTTACCTGAAGATAAGCACAAACCCGCCTCTCAGGTGCCAAAGGATAAGACAGCCGAAAATATCTTGTACTCCCATTTAACAAAAGGTAAAACCGAAGAAGATCGGGGTGCACTTACTAGTCCTGGGCAAACACAGCCGCATAATGATTCAGAACCGCGCCGAACTCCCCCCAGTGTAGAGCCACGCGTAGCTGAACCGGCTGCTAGTCCCGAAATTGGCACAGAGAACAAAGAACCTGAAAGAGTCCACGAGTCGAGCCGCAGCCAGACTAAAGCTCGCACGGTCCTCGACAATTTGCTGTTCAATAACAGCAACCAGTCAGCGAGCGCCGACACTCGCTCAGTGTCGCCGGCCAGTGGCGAGTGGGAGTCCGGTGCAGCTGAAGCTCTAGAGCACGGCGACAAGTTCCTGGCGTGGCTCGAGGCGAGCGGCGACCCCAGCGTGACGCGCATGCACGTGCATCAGCTGCGCGCGCTGCTGCACAACCTGCGCGCGCGCCGCGCCCCTGCGCCCGCGCACCCCGCGCACCCTGCCGACCATGCCGCCCGCCGCAAGTAGACGCCCCCGAGGACTACCGCTCGCTACAGGGAATATTTCAATTATGTACATAGTTACGTTGTCGCCAGTAAGCGTTCACTTGTGATATGTGTAGCCAAATTTGCGTAATTTCTTTGTTCTAAAAGAAAAGCTATGCATTATTCTTTAGTTCGTAAGTCTTTAACTTGAACTAGGCGGACCGACAGAGGACCGGCGCTCTGATCTCTCTGTCGGCCCATCTGGTTCAGGAATATTTGTTTCCGAGTCTATATGAAACTTGATGGGTAGTTATCCTGTTGTAATTTAAATGTTATGTATCTGCGTTTTCACTTACCGTTGCACACGAAACTTGTTAAATAAATATTTAGTCTAGATAGTACCGCTGTATGTTGCCATTTGACGATTACATTCCTAGTTGTACCCTTACTATAGTTTATAGTTGAATCCCTATGTTCTACCTCAAGTCAAACTAATACTAAGTCACGCACGGCGTCCTTTCAACCGTTCACTAAGTAGCGCGTAGCGAGAGTGGCGCGTGTGTGGCGTGGCTGAGCCGTGGCCCGCGGCGCGTGGCGACACCTCCCGGCCGATACCAAATATTGAAAGGATGCGAATGTATTGTTGTGCCAATCGTAAGAACAAGGTAATATTGTTAAGATATAGATGACTCTATTGCGTTAGCTAGGCACTCGTTGTGTAATTGTTTTCTATTGCTCAGTATTTTATATAATTATGTATATTGTAGACGTCCGACCGTCGACGTGTCTACTCGGAATTGTATTATACGTTAAAGTTTAACAGTTAAGGACACTGTGATCAAAATTATAAATTATTGAGAGATTATTATTATTGTAAGTACATTCCTAATTAATAGAGTGTATTATCTTAATGTTATACATGTAAGAGATTGTCCAATGGTGTGAGGTCGCGGTGGCATGCACTGTGACGATTCTATTAGAGAAAATGTTCAAAAATCGTGTCTCCTTCCCATAAAGTATAGAGTTATTAATTTGCATTTCACGTTAATATTAGCTCACTGGAAATTATTTGAGAGATGATATTTTGTACAAAATTGAAGATTGGATTATAAATTCTCTTATCACGACTTGTGATCTCGAAATGTTATATGATTAAACTCGATTGAACCTTTACCTAACACTGTTTTATTTCCTTTCACAAGTTCCTAATACCTTAACTGCAAGAGCTCAATGTTCATTGATTAATATACTAGTTGCTGGCATAAGTGAGTCAAGAAAATATTATTTTCATTACCGTTATTGCTGAAAAATGAGTAAATAAAAACCGCTCACTGACATTAATTTAGCTGATGACAAAAATTATAAAATACAAAGTTTATATGTAAATGGGTGAATTTTTTGTTCTAACTCTTTCAGATAAAAACTACAGCTAACAGATCTGACTAAAATTTACCATAGAGATAGATTACAGTCTTATTAAATAACAAATAAGCATTTTTTTAACAGTACCAGGAAAAAAAATAGCTTAGTGTAGACAAAGAATCAAATGATCAAATTAAGATAAACGATTATCAAGCAAGATTTAGAGAAGATATGTTCACAGGGCTAGAGGTGATTAATTATATTATTAAAATTAAACAATCAAATTGTGAGTAGCACCTCTGCTATCGCAAATGAAAATTAAATTAATGATAACATAATTTATGTCGGGCATGGCCCGATGATAAAAACTAAATAATATTATTAGTTATATTAACTTTCACTTAATGGCGATAACAACATTATTTTGGCATCTTTAAATTTTGTAAATTCTGCCAAAATTTACAGAAACACTAGATTTTCGTAAATCTAAGCTCCAAACCAATTTGAATATTCGACTGCGCAGTCTGATACAAGTAACGCCATCTATCCAACGAATAAGAAAACTAAGCGCTGAAAATTCATATTCTACTCTCAGCAGTATATGAGTATGTAACATTTTTGTAATATTATTTTAAAATGAAAGGTACTCACGTGCAAGGTAGGCTTGGTCAAGGGCTCGTAGTCAAAGTAGTCGGAAACTAACGAAGCAATTCCCTGCCAACTATTCGTTTCATCAAAGTTCAGTTTTGTCGGTCTTATAGAAGTGCACACCATTTTCTGAAAAGAAGCTCAAATATGGCTTTTTGTTGGGCATCTTACATTCTAAAATAGTACCGAGCTGCGAATGCAACTGCGTGGGAGATCAGAAATCAACATTTTTTATACATTGATCGAATTGTCTCAAGTGAGACTACCTAGCAAGAGTGTTCCCAGTTATCTGGAAATTGTTTATAATAGCATAAAGTTCCCAGTGCCTGGCAATCAATATGCTCATGATAAGGCCTCTCCTGCTACATGGTATGATGGGACCCATAACATTACACAATGAATATGATTTTAGGGTCACCGAAAACAAAAAAAAAAGGACGCGAGACGTCAAATCTTTGAGATCAAGCTATAACTAGATACTTTAGGAAAACTAAAAATAGGTAAGTAGTTAGGTATTGCATATTGTTTTGAAGGTTGAACGGTTTGTTCATTTAACGCCACCCTTAAAAACCTACAATAGCAAAGGAGTTTTAAGTGAGTTGCCAGGCTTTTACGGGCTTAGAATTTGAGGGATTTAGGAATTAGGGATCGAGCCTATAGTAACTTCACTCAGTCGACGGAACTTAACGCAAGCTTTGTTTCTCTTTCTCTCTCTCTCTCTCTCTCTCTCTCTCTCTCTCTTTGGTGCCTATTGCTCTGTTAATCAAGCTTCGACGGGAGAGAATAGGAGTCCCTAGTATCATCTCCCTCAATTATACAGTACAAAATGATATTTACAAGTAAAGCTAAATACTTATCTACCTGTAAACCACATTCATTTGGGACTTGTAACAAAATGGGTTTTCGCATTTTGTAATGAAAATTATATTGGCGCCGAAAATTCTCTGCATATGCCAAAAGCAAACGTTCTTTCGGACTGTTCGTGTAGTAACTTGGCGGAAAACATGTACGGTTTTCAAAAACAGGTTCGTCGATCTCAGGCCAGCACATATTAACCACGCCCAATTCATATATTGCATTATTTAGCCCAGGTATGGTTAATGGTTCCGAAACTTCCTTTAATCCAAATATTTTTGCGGGTATTTCGACAAAATCTTCTTGCTCGAACGGACGTTCAAAAATTTCACTTGGCACATTTTCATTGACTTCTTCTACTGTATCTAGTGGTTGTTGACTAGAGCTCTCCTGTTCGGTTGTCTTATTTTGCTCCGAAGAACGATGATCTGCTGCTAATTTTACGGTGGGAGCGGCACACATTTTGATAATTAGTCACCTATCTTCCCTTCATAAAATTACTATCTAAATACTCATTATATTGAACTACAAAACTGGTTTTTTCAGGAAGTTAACGCTAAGTATGTTGATGTTTACTAATAACAATTTTGACATAACAGTTTTCAGGATTTCAGTCTCTGTCACGGTTTCCATGCAACGATTTCAAATTACATATGAAAACTCCACAATAGAAGTTTGGACTTTTTACCATATCAATCACATCGCTCTAATAAATATACAAAACACCTTTATCAATCTAAATAATTTTATGAGTGACTTAATTAAAATGTTTAGTTCCTTACAATTAAAATGTGCATTAATAAATATTTTTCATTGTAAAGTTTTATTTACTTCTGAACGTACTATTTTCAATCAATTGTCAATGTCAAGTATGTCAACGTCGTAGTTATGAAATTTCACAATTTCTCATTGATTTTCATTCCTTTTCTCTCTTCTGCTTTTTATATTTATAAAATAAAGACAAAACATCATTTCTAAGCACAAAAACCTAATTTGCATCTGCTAAAAATTTTAAACAATATAGAGATAGGCTAAAAGTTACTCGTAAGCGTAAATAATTTAGATTGCCTATTGTAAAATAGTGAACTTTGGTCTTCATATTTTTTTGTTATTTGTGGTGTAAAGGCATTCTGCAATAAGTCCTTTATCCGAGATAACTTGCTACTAAGTGTGGACTTTGTGTCTAAGACACAAACGACGAATACGCCTAAAGGTGCGGTGATATTATAAAGTTTATAAATTCAAAATGGGTAACAAATCGTCTTTATTATTGCGTGAGGAAGAAATCGCTCAAATTCAAGAGGAAACTGGGTGTAAGTTATTATTATAGTCATGTCTTAACGTACCTAATAAAATTAAGAACAAAATGAGTTGGTGATTTACATCTCTCTTTTACGTAAACACTGACAAATATGACATCTAATTGATATGTATTTGTGTGGATGTTATTTTTTGTTTTTTAATGTAATTTTTTGAATATAACTAGCAATGACGTAGTTTTTTAAATCTTCTACAGTCACACCAAACCAAATTGAGAGGCTGTATTCCCGATTCACATCACTAGACAAGAATGACTGTGGCACACTGTCCCGGGAAGATTTTTTAAGGATACCGGAGTTAGCTATCAACCCGCTGAGCGAGCGTATTGTCCACTCCTTCTTTGCAGAGAGCCATGATGACAGAGTGAACTTCTTGCAGTTCATGAGAGTGCTCGCACACTTTAGACCAATCAGAAAGAATAGAGAGAATAAGCTTAATAGCAGGGATGAGAAGTTGAGATGTAAGTATTATAAAAATACACTGGGATATAATGTAGATGTAACATTTGTAAACCTTAATATCAGTACACCATAGACCGACCTAAAGCAAGCCTATTGACTATGTGATAGAAGATCCTCATGAACATTTTCTACTTTTAATCTTGATAATATTTTATTAAAATAACATTCAAAATTAAGTGTGGGAGAGCTAAGCCTCAGAATGAATGGGTCAGCTTGACCGGAGTGATACCATGGCCTCACAGAAAACCTGCGTTAAACAACAACAGTGTTTTTTCTCCTTGTGAGTGAGGTTATCAGAGGCCCAATCCCTCTTCCTTCTCCCATTCCTTAAATATCCAAAAGGCCGGCAATGCTCTCGTAACTCCTTTGGTGTTTCGGGTGTCCATGGGTAGTGCCGATTGCTTTTCATTAGGTAATCCGCCTATCCCATAAAAAATAAAATAAATGTTTTATTCTACATGATCTGTATCTCTAATGAAAATGTTTTTATTTTTCAGTTGCTTTTTCAATGTATGACTTGGACAATGATGGCAAAATCTCAAGGGATGAATTATTGGCCATACTGCACATGATGGTTGGTGCTAATATCAGGTAATTTTACCTTTTCATAAATTAATGGACCCTAGTTTAAATCTATAACCCACCTAGTCTACCCATAGCTTAATCCGGCGTTTCACGCACTCTGTCTTATTATTGTATAAGACAGAAGTCTATTATACTTGTCCTTAAAGTAGGTCTTGGATGTTGAAATTACTGTTTTCTTCCTACCCCTCCCACTCCGCTTTAATAACCTATTTTTAAATTTATGGCTATTTATTATCAGATTATAATGTCTTTAGATTACGATAAGGAAGGCACAAATTGAATTTGTGGTAAAGCACACTTAGCAATCTGTTGATAAAAATATCCATGTTACTCTTAATGTAATACCTATCAAGTGTATGCAGTCATAAATAAGGTAAGGAGTACCGCGTCAGCCAACACGTGTGACCTTAGCGATTAGGCCGTGACCTGATAAGACGTGCGCAGTTATGGAGAACGGAGTTTTCGTATAATTGACTAGAAACAAAAACTACTGCAACATACGTCATTTTGTAACTGAATTATATTAATTGTTAACTGTATTAAACAAATGAGGGAAATTCTTACCGCCATGATTATTTGGGATAAAATTAATTATCAGGTCCCTTTTTACCTTTTAATCGTAATTCGAGACAATACGAGCTCGAACGCGATACTTTTAAAAATAATACGTAGTTTACTCTTTCCTACAATCTGCCCTGAAACAGGATTGTTTAAGACTCATAAAAACATCTATCGAAAAGAATGGTCTTCTAAAAATAAAATAAAAAATCTTCTTTCTCAATTTCCAGTGAAGAACAATTGACCAGCATTGCGGAACGCACAATCCTGGAAGCGGACACCAACAATGACCAGATGATATGCTTCGAGGAGTTCTGTCATGCCCTGGAACGGACAGATGTGGAGCAGAAGATGTCCATCCGTTTCCTCAACTGACCTCCACACTCCTGAACCGACAACATTAAGTACATACTGATGTTCTTATTAGCCATTCTCATATACGGGCTATTTAACAAGAAATAATTAATTGTATATGAGTCACTTAATTGTTTTGGAGGTTTGTTCGTATGTTGATATGTTGGGTTAGTTTAGATTCTATGTTAGTGCATTGTTTTAGGCAAAACTGTGTGATATAATGTATTTATTGGTTTACATCACATAATAGATGTAACTAAAATGTTAAGCAAATTTATTCAATAATAATGAATTATTAATATTGAGGGTCTGTTCAACAAGTTTGATTATGTTGCTGTTAGCCCCATATTTTTGGGATATGACGCCAAACGGGTCGCCTGTAAGCAGTAGAAGACGGCGATGGCACAAAATATCAGAGAAGAAAAAGAAAAATACAAGTGCAATGCCATTGGGTTGTTAGAGTTTGAGGGTTTGAGATATGGGGATTGGGTTTCTGCCTAAGTTAATAAGCATTTATGACTTCTTTACGAAAAAACGTGTCATATAAGCTAGCTGCTACATTATCAGACATTGTACAGCAATTTAAAGCCCTTCAAACACGTAAAAGAAAATGATGGACATTTATTAATACAGGTCAAGATCATGTCGTCGTGCTACGAGGTATTTGTTTAAGTTTTACTTTCATGTGATTGATTTAGTATTGGCAATTACTTGTGATAAAATTAGCGAAGAATTTATTAATAAAAAGGTTCTATAGCGTAGGTACAAAACTAGCTGTCAAAATATACATAGGCCACTTGGCGTTAATTTTTTAAGGCATAATATGTGGAGAAATTCTGTAGCTTTATATATTTATGTATTTGTAGATTTGTTTTCTCTTAATAAAATATAACCTCTATTCATTTTGAGTAAAATTAAAAGTCGATAAATTTATTTCCACGTAATTGGCACATCTAGCCTTAGTCTAGAACCGTAGTGGTGTTATCAGTCAGCCAAGATATTTGGTACGCAAATAAATTCTAGGCCTAACACACGGTTTCCGAAGGCCGATCGATGTTAAAATCAATTTAATCTCTTGTCAAGTCATCTGATTGGTTGACTGAATTATCAACAACCAATCAGATGACTTGACAAGAGATTTGACACCTAGTTAGTTGATTTTAACATTGATCGGCCTTTCGGAAACCGGGCATAAGTCTAAGGACAGCCTTACGATTTGGTTTCCGGGTCGTTATTGTTCGTAAGGTAGTCTAAGTATTCATTTAATGTCTTTTAGTGTGGCAGTTAATCAATAATTTTTCATTTGTCTTGTAATTCATTTTATTTTTATGTGATTTCTCTAAGACCACATAGCCTAGTGCTGGCAAAATAACAGTATAAACCCCAACTGCGACCTTCAACATTATCTATGTAGTAGTTGTATACCAAATAAATTGGTTGACCATACATTTTTCACTATTTAGGCATTTATTACCGCACCGCATTATGGCGAACTCCCGTTTGTAAAGGGAGCATATAGTTCAGCAGTGTATTCAAGCTGTGGATCTTAACCGCAAACATATATTAAATAATAGCAGCATTTAATTCGTTGAAACTTGTTATTCAATAGATAGAAAAATGTATAAAAAATGGGTACTTGACAACTAGTCAAATACAATATATTTTTTTTCTTTTCATAATCGAAAGTATTCTATTAATTTTTTACGGAATAGTGTGATGTGACGTCACGTCTTTTTGTGTCAGATGACACATTTCTTTAAAATTATATAGAATAATAAGAATAGGTACTTAACGTACAATACACTGAAAATTAATGAATGATATTGTTATTATTTTTAATTTGTAAGATGAAATCTTGGAATTATATCTTTTTGACTAAGTCAAGTACCTACCCAAATAATAAGTAGTCTCAGTTATGTAGTAAATAGCTGTTGATGCTAGTTTTTATCTACACATAAAAAACAACTTTTTTTGTATATTTTGTTCCATTTCAAAGCTTTTGTTTTAATAAATTATGTTAATTATTTTGCTTATTGTGGCTAACGAAGCTGTATGTATAAAATAATAATTTATTTTACGTTTATTATAAAATAACATTGATTTGAATGTTTAATACAATTTGGTGTCGTAGAAGTTAGGAATAAATATTTTTTGTACAACTAACGGTTTTATTATTTAGAAAATACCTTGCTTGACAGTTGGTGCCCATAGAGTTAAAGAAAATTTAAAAAATACAATAGTAAATTTCGGTGATGTCAGCCATAATTTATGGAGACAGATTGCTAACTAGATTGATTCTTCGTCCCCAGAACATTCATCGAAATCGTTGGAGCCGTTTCACAATATCAGGATCTATGCTAAATAATTAAATATATTTACATAATAAACATAGACGAATTTCATAAACATTTTAATTTCATATAATTTACATTGTATAGTAGAAAATTATTTTTAACTTAATTGGAAAAACAATTTGGATAATCGCGCGACATATTACATGTTCAGAACTGATACTATTAGAACTACACATGCAGTCTATAAAGAAATAAGTTTATATACTAAATCATAAGATAAAAACTAACACACCCGAGATGATAATTTTAAGATCAAACGCACTCTAGCTTTGAATATAATACTGTGATAGTGAAAAATCAGCAAATATATCATCAACGACATCCCTAGTGTATTCGAGTATGCTACCAGACTACAAATGGATCTGATACCCAAATTACTAATGGGAAAAATATTACATATATATGTTGTTTATGATAGGTACATAACACTATAAAAGTCAACGTGATACGCGACTTTTCTGCCTCGTAGGTAAAGAAATACTTTTGTTAATGTAAACTGTAATTGCACTGTACATAAAGGCTGTTTTCGCTTAATATTGAGTTTCTTCATTCAACAGAACAATCGCGTACAACTTTAAGTGAACAAACATGCATAAAGGACTTTGAACCTAATAGCCATCAGTTCTGAAGCAAGTGAGACTCCATATTGTTTTTTAAGCTGTGGACGATACAGCCAATTTCTTCAGATGTTCCATAAACACTTGCAGCGAAACGTCGTCAGTCAGCACGGGGGCGCCACCGTCCTGTGAATTTGCAAAGAGGTCGTTTGAATAATTTAGCTTTATGATAAAAGCCACCACCCTTAATAAATGTAAAACGTTGTCTTTATGGTTAATAAAACTTATTGGACCACGCTCGTATTAATATAAACGACATATAATTGATATACATCTAATTGATCTTGCGTAGATGCATAATCTAATCAAAAACCCCAAATTATTTAATACGTGTTTAGAATTTGAAATGTCAGATATAAACTTAAAATAACCTGTAACATCGTAGCTGCAATAAATATCGATTATTTTTCTGGTGTTACCATAGCAGTATAATGGTATTGTCATATAAAATATTATTATATGTCATCACCAATTGCCCAATATAGTAACACATTACATTATTAACGTTCAAAGTAAAATAAATTCTATCCCCCTTATTACAAAACAAGATTTATCTTTAGTCCAGGTTTAAACCATTGAGTCGGGTTTTGAATATTGAATCTTATTGTCATCTACCTTCAATTCGAAATACAAAAACTGGCTCAATGGTTTAGTCCTAGACTAAAGTAAAACCTTGTTTTGTAATAAGGCCGTATAAATTCTGAGAAACGCTCAATAGATTCCTAACTTACGGTTAGTATATAGAAGCTAATTAGTTTTCATCAAAACGCACACAGACCATGCAAAAAATATTCTTAAACTATTAAAGAAAATTGGAACGCTTTTAAAACCAGATCGAAAAAAAACGTTTATCGGTCGAGAGTATTTTTCTCAGTGAGGCACGTGCTCGACTCACAGTTATGTTCTCCTAATGTTGGCGCTAGAGACGTAAGATAACCCACAAAATAGTAAAATATTAACTTCAAATTAATTATAAATAAAAAATGTAGGTACTATATTTCCACTAGGTATAGGTGTTTTTGTTACACTCATAATATCTTTCCACAAAATTTTAACCAAAATCTGCAAGAGAAGCGAATAAGCAGATGCTGACAACCACTGGACAAAGTATTTAAAAATAAAACTTTTTTGAGCGAATACTATTTACAGATGAGACGAAAATAAATTCTCTATGTTACAAAAAAGGTTTTATTCTAAAATACTTCCAGTGATCATCTGATAAAACTAGAGAAAACTGCCTAGTAGCTAAAGCAGATCTGTTAGACAAATTAAATCGCAGAATTAGAAAGCCAACACCAATAAAAAAAAGATAAAAGTCACTACCGCTGATGGAATCGGCATCGCCTGGATATCGCCATAACAATGATGGAACAAAAAAACAACAAAATCAAATTCACACCATGCTCTGGTGGCACACCATGCAAATTTTGAATGACTAGAAAATAAAAAACAAGGCTAAACGCCATGCATTTACAATACAATACAACATCAATTTTTTTAGGACTAGTATAAATTATACTGATTCGTAACATCTAGTTTTACTAAGCTTTGTCACTCACCCCTCCGTACGCGTACATGTTGTTATGGGTCTGCGAAGGGTTGACCTTCGACAAGAGGAACCGGGCCTGAAACAAATAATTATTGTCAGCACTGACCAATTTTTAAAAACACTTTACTTTTATTATCAACTACTTAATTTCTCACAAGGCAACTTTTACACACAATGTCAAAGTTCGAATTTGGAAGCAAATCCTTTTCGCACATTGTCATTTGCAAAAAAAACTTGTAGCAACGGCAGTGTTGCCACCTGCAAAACAATTCACACCACTGAGATATCAGTGAACACGCCAGCTGCCTATTCTTCTCGCTAGTACGTGTAGTTGGCAAAAACAATGGAAACGGTCGAGTATTCGGAGCGATAACGAAATGTGGTGCCAAACTATATTGACTGCAGTAGCAATTACATGTACGTTCACAAGTGAAATAATCGTACAGAACCAGGGCCCACGGACGGTAGTCCAGATAAAAGGTTCCAATAATAAATCTCTTAAAAATTTTCGCACATAAATCGTGAGGTCTTAAATTCGACCAGTACATATTATAATTGTGAACTTTTCCGTCTAACTAAAGTGTTAAACTAAAGATCATTTGTAACTTAACCACCGCCCGCGTGATGAAGTTAGTTAATTTGCGATAGTTTTCAGATGTGGTGTGTATTTTATTGTTGAGTGGACTACAAAAGGAGGACCTGGACGCTAACACATTGGCCAAACTAGGCCGATATAATGTCAACATCGATGATATGACCAACGAGTGAGTATTAGCGCGCCTTTATCAACCACATTGACTATGTTCAATGTTTATGCTTATTGTATTTTAAATCTTTACAAAAAAAACATTAAAGTTATTAATTTAAATCTTTAGGCGGCACGAAGAATGTATGTTAAATCCTTACACAACAAAAGGAATTAGCAGCAATCTGCAAATAACAAGTGAAGCCGCCATAACCAAATTGCCAACGGAAGCAACCAGGATACCAGTTTCTAAGAAACGTAAGTTTAATACAATAAACAATAAAAATTGAGCTTAATATTATGTTTTAATATACATAAAATTATTTCTTTTTAAGGCGCCAAACAAAACGCACTTGGACTAAATTCGAAATTAAATATACGTTTCGCACAAAACTCTAAGGATAATAAAGATGAAATTAAAATAAACAAAACGAATGGAATACATAATACAGAGCAGGCATCATATCAGATGCCTCCTTTGATATATCACGACTTGAAAAATGTTTCGAACGTTGACGAGGACAATGATTTGCAAATAAGGTTCGTTGAGAATAAACCAGACGTGGAGAGCGTGTTGGATTTTTGGAGTAAACTGACGCATCACACGAGGACAGTAACTACAAACATCCCAACATCGCCATCGACGGCCTCAGTACCTAACGTAAACACAGAAAATAATTTCACTGCGTTACTACACTTTGAAACCAACAACGCAAACTTACATGCAAAAGAAATGGAATTAATCGGTAAACTTCTAGCAGAATATATAGGAACAGAAAATGGTCCATACACAATCGAAAAAAATATAACTAAAAGCGAGTACGCGGAATATACACCTAACAGTGTTCAGTCCAATATTTTAAACGATTCTAAAAATATTGTACAGTCTTTGAAAGAACAAATTAATGAAATAAGAAATTTGAATAACTTCACGAAAGAAGATAGAAATGTTTTATTCGATTCTATTTTGAACGCAGCTGAAGGTTTTCCTTTGAAAATTATGTATAATAGCTCGCAGCGTTACAAGAAGACTCACAAAACGCCTCACAGTCGGTTTCCGAGTTCCGAAAGAAAGCCGATTAAAACAATGAGATCCAACAAAAGTAATCCGTCGCAACTTCTCAACAGTCCTCTGCGACTGCAGGAGAATTTAGAGAATCTTGCATCAACTATGTCTTACAGTGAAACTACTATCAAAAGAGCCGAGGAAATAAAAATAAGACAATACGACGGTCAATTATTAAACGGTCGTTACAAACAGTATAACGCCATTAACTATTTAAGTGACCTAAAAAATCGGACTCAACTTTCAGAGAAAAAGAGAAATGTTCACATTAATCATAAGCCAGTGACAAGTGGATTGCTAGCAATGAAACAATGGGACCCAATGAGAGTTTACCCGATGAAAAAAACAAATAACGTCTTGATAACAGGTGATAATGGGAAAAGATTTGATGGAGAGAATCGGTCTCGAGCTTCACACAAAGTTAAAGATAAATCAACACGAAGATATTCAAAACCCGATGATGAACAAGATGTCAGTTATAGAAATGAACAACCGCAATATTTAAATATTGTAAACAATCAAAAAGAGCACCATAAGAGAAAACATAAAAGGCAACAAAATCGCGATGTGCAGCCTAAAACATTCAAATCCAAGTTGCCATCAATAAAACAAAAGACACACTCAAAACATACACACAGTGCAATGAAAAGACGCGTTGAAAGTTCATCCGATGATAATGATTATTCAGAGTCAAGTGGAGAGCTGCTTATCGAGAGGAGACAATCAGGAAATGCGGACAAAAAAGGGCAAGAAAATTATCGTTACATGAATAATGAACTGACTATGAACAATGAAATAAAAAAGAGAGAGCACAGTAATCAGGAGCACGTAACGGAAAACTCCAAAGTTTCACACAATCGTCACTATAGTAATGGTTCAACGATTAAGAAAAAGCAAAGCAATTCTGATTCCTTGAACGAAGTCAAAAGGGCTGAAACGCCAGATGCCACCAATCGTGAACAGCAACCAGCAGCGGGTTCACATCCAGTCGTAAGAGTACGAACAATTGGAGACCTTCAACCTATATCATCTAAAGTTATTAAAGAGATCGCTGAAAAAGTCAAAGAAATAGTACTAAAAGATATAGAGAAGGGTGTTACTATAAGGACTGTTGGTACTGCCACGACCGTACGGACCTCTATAACTGAAGTGTCTATTCAGACGTCTCCTACAACAACCACTACACCGTTCCCGCAAGTCACCACAACGGGTAAGCCTCTAAATTACAAAAATATTTCTTTAAATCAAACACTATTAATAATTAAATTCATATTACAGAAAAATCATCGACAACGAAAAACTCTGAGGTGAATCCGGTCATGCTGCAGCTGATTGAAATATTTAAAGAATTAAAAAATTTAAAGGAACCTACCACTGCGCCTACGACAAAGGCGATGCAAGATACCACTGTGAGTGCAGTATCAGCGTCACCAACGCCTATACTACAGAAAGTGCCAACACTCACAGCCACACAAAAATATCCCCAACAAAAATATGCGCCAATATACAACCCGTACTCAATAAACAGTTCCCCTATTCATGAGCAAATGATAAACAACGCGCCATACGCCGCCTTACCATACATAACACATTTATACAACCGGCCCATCACTTTACAAACCAACGATGACCAGATAGCTCCTCTAGCGATACAAATATCCAAACCTTTAAAGGTCATGAACCAACACGTCGTCATCACTACACAAGACCCCTACATTAAAATGAAACAAGAATTAGAACGACAGAGTAAGAAACGCGTCGAGGATAACTTTCGGATCCCTCATTCGGACAATAACAACAGATACGGTGACAGAATTACTTATAGAAACAGATTTACTAAGGACAGAGATAAACCGCGGTATTATCGGGAACACAAAGAAAAGGTTCATCATCCTGTGGACTCGGGATTCTCGGGCAGTTTGAGTCACTACTCTGAGAATGTACCGTACACCGGGAGATTAAATCGACATGAGTATAGTCAGGCTCTAAGCCAACAAAGCGACGTGGGTAGCATGGATATAAGAAATCCAAGAGCTCGCGGTTATTCCAAATATGATAAATACGAACCCCAAAAGTTCCATTATAACTCAGAAAGGTTTGAAAACTGGCCACGAAATAATTGGAAAGAAATGAAATCATTGTCAGCTGAAAACAGTTGCGAACAAATACCCGCTAGGCATCAGGTGCCCATTGTAAAGGTGAAGGAGCGGACGAGGTATGACGACACACACTTCAACAACTTTCTAAAGTCCCAACAAAAGGTGACCGACATTTTGGAGAAGATGTTGGCGAATAATATTAAGAATTCCGCCGGACCGCAGAGCGTTGAGACACCGTAGCATACAGACAAAACATTACAATCAACATAATATAAGGGAAAAGGTTTGTAAGAGATTTTATTAAAACATAAAATGAAATACACAATCGTTTTCCTTCCAACCCTGTAACTTCAATCACGTCAAAATAGGTAGCCAGAACTGACCTAAACTCCACTTTTTTTCAGTAACCCGAGCAAAACCGCTCTAGTGCATGATGATCTTACGTCTTATTCAGTTACATAAGCTATATGACCTAATAAAAGTAGGGCGTTGCTAGATGAAGGATCCTCCTCGATATGTAGAAGTCATTAGAGAAAGACTGTTGTTTCTTGCAGCTAATACAATGGACAACACATAGGAATGAACACTCTATTTCTACAAACATAAGGTATGCTTTTAAACTGTACCTGTGAGCCACCATGCTCTGTGTCGATGTACCGCGGGACGGGGAACCTGCTCTGCAGTATCTCCTGCGCGTCGTCGATAGGCGCCCGCAAAAGTTGCGCAAAGCTCTCGTACTCAGCCATATCTTGGTAGCGCAATTCACGCCATTGCGCTATTGTCTGGGGATGAAGGAAGTAAAATTAATATACGAGTATAAATTGTTTCTGGTAAATAAAATCATAATATCAATAACCAATTCATTACATTACTGTGTAATTGGAAAATCACTTAAATTTTTAACTCGTTCTTTTTAATACTTAATCAAGTGTGTAATATTATCGAATTCTTACTAAAACCCTGCACAACTTTATATTAATTTTCGTGCATAAATTAAATTCAATTGCTAAAAGGGGACTTTTAGAAACGCGAACTTTCATAGTTCCTATAAACACATGAGTGTTCTTTTCTGGAAATGGGTAGATAAATCATTTAAATACACGACTGAACCCCATAATAATGACTTTCCTTCAAACAAGAGGAAAAGTCGGTTGTAACATACATTCAAAACTTCTTTAAAAATCTTACCTCTCCATGATAAATAAGTATTTGGAAGAAAGTATCCATGAGAAGGATGCGGTCGGGCTGGATGGAAGACGTGTCGAGTAGGACAGGCTCCGGGGGACCACCGAAACTGTACGAGTATAGGATCGGCTGGATCATGATGAGAGACTGTGTTAGATCTTCACGCATCAACATGTGCCTGTGAAATAAAAAAATGATTTGGTATTATATTTTATTGTGACGCTTACGCTTTAAGAAATAAATTACACAATTATTAAAGTTAATACTTGCTTTATTCAATTCAATTCAATTCAATTCTTTATTTGCATTCCATATGTTATACAGGTGATATTTTATAAAGTTGACACAATATATTAGAAACAATATGGACCCGTTAGGGCACAGCATAAAGAGTTTGGAGAGGTTTATTATACAGTATATATTATCTAGTTTTGTATTATATCTATGCTTATTACTAAAACTGAAGTACACATGTTGTATTCTTACTTATTAAACTTATTAATACTTATCTTAATGTATGTGTGTGTGTGTGTGTGTGTGTGTGTGTGTGTGTGTGTGTGTGTGTGTGTGTGTGTGTGTGTGTGTGTGTCTGTGTGTGTGTGTGTGTGTGTGTGTGTGTGTGTGTGTGTGTGTGTCTCTGTGTGTGTGTGTGTGTGTGTGTGTGTGTGTGTGTGTGTGTCTCTGTGTGTGTGTGTGTGTGTGTGTGTGTGTGTGTGTGTGTGTGTGTGTGTGTGTGTGTGTGTGTGTGTGTGTGTGTGTGTGTGTGTGTGTGTGTGTGTGCATTTGTGAAATTATATGTAAAGGCTTATTTATTTATTTATTATTCGTTATATTTTGTTTTATATTTTAGTTTGTATTGGTGTTCATTATTTTTTTATTGACTTATCATCCATGTATTCTTTTATTGTATAATAACATTTAGAGTGTAAAAAGTTCTTTAATTTATTTATAAACGTAGATGTTTTCGTTTCATCTTTGATCGTTTTAGGTAAGTTGTTATATATTTTTATTGACATTATTAGCGGACCGGAAGAATGTATTTTAAGGTGGGATGTAGGTAGATTTAATCTATTCTTGTGTCGTAGGCTATATTTACTTTGAGTATCTTGTCGGGTAGTATAGAATTCAGGGTGATTTCTGACGAATTTGCATACTTCTAGGATATGTAAACAGGTAAGTGTGAGAATTTTGTATTTTTGGAAATGTGGTTTGCAGCTGTCTGTTTGTTCAATATTGGTTATTATTCGGATGAGTTTCTTTTGCAAGGTAAAAATGGTGTGCGAATCGGTACTATTTCCCCATAATATGATGCCATAACTAAGCCATGCTTGGGCGTAGGCATAGTATGTGACAAGTGCTGTATGTAGGTTGGTGGTATTTTTAATTTCGCGTAAGGCGTATGAGAATTTTGAAAGTTTTGATCGAATTTTTTGTATATGTGCTTTCCAAGTTACATGTGTATCTATTACTAAACCAAGGAGTGTGAATTCGTTAACTTGTTCTAGTTTTGTGTTATTGTAGGAGTAGTTTAATTTTATCGGGGCTTTTTGATGGGGGTGGAAGGTAATTAATTTAGTTTTTGAAAAGTTTATTTCTAAGTTATGGTTTTCCATCCAGTTGAATGTTGAAGTAAGAAGAGAGTTTAGTTTTTCGTTTATATTGTCAATTTTTTGGCATGAGGTGAGTATGGAGACATCATCTGCAAACAACACACATGGTCCGTTAATTGTTTTGGGAAGGTCGTTAATGTAGATGAGAAATAGAAGGCACCCTATGACGCTCCCTTGTGGGATAGAGGCATTCACTGCTTTTAGGTTTGATCTGATTTTTTGTATTTCGTTATTGTTTTTATTAAAGTATTCTATTTCTATAATTTGTTCTCTATCATTTAAGTAAGACTCGAACCATTTTAAGGCGTTTCCCCGTATCCCGATCCCGTGTAATTTATTTAAAAGTATTTTGAACTGCACCTTATCGTAGGCTTTAGTCATGTCGAGTAATATTCCTATTCAAAGTCAAAATTATTTATTTCAATTATTTCAATTAGACCCATACAGGCACTTTTGAACGTCAACACAACTTTAAAGATACAAAGTGTCAGTCTGTCGGTCAGTCCTTTTAGTGAAGCTATTCGCTCGTTCCAAAGTGTAGATTCCGATGGAGAAGAACGAGCAAGAAACTCCATGGTTACTCTTTTAAAATCAGTGTCACATAAACATTCTTTGATACATTATTTAGTTAGTTTGAATATGTGAGAACAGTGTAACGCGTGTATACAGAGAAACATAAAAAGAAAATAACCTTAAGGACAATAGACAGTCCGGAGCTGACCAGTCCCAATTGACGGCGCCCGTTCACGAGCATGACACGTACACCAGCATCGCCCAACTCAACCATAATATAGGGAATCGAGCGATCCAGTGACCGTGCCACCGCCAATGTGACCTTTGAGTGAGCATGACAACTCCAAGCTGACATATGGACCGACATTCTGCTAGTCTAACTAATTTTAATAGGTTACAGGGCACTCACATTTACAAATTTATCAAGTTTAACAATAAAAATAGCATGGTTACAAATTTACAAAATCTAAGAACTTCCGTTCAAGCAAAGATCCACTGGAACATTATTTATATTCGTGTAGGTATATTATCCTGTGGAGCAGGACCAGCCCGTCTCCAAGCATCCTTATCCTCAATATAATCACTCAGTTTGTAATATGCTTTTTTACACAAAGTTTTCTTTATACATAATTTAAAATTTCTTTCATTTAATTGTTGTATTTCGCCTGGGATTTTGTTATAACACTTAACGCTGAATCCCATGAACGACTTGTGTACCTTTGCCAATCTAAATAATGGCTGACACAATCTATCTCTATGTCTAGTTTGGTAATTATGTCTGTCTGATACCTTATCAAATAATATTAAGTGTTTCCTAACATACATTATATTTTCATAAATAAACTGACCGGGCACAGTCATAATATTGATCTCTTTAAATTTATCTCTAAGAGATTCGCGAAGCCTTAGGTTGTAAATTGCTCTGATTGCACGCTTTTGCAAGACAAATATAGACTCAATGTCAGCAGCCTGTCCCCACAACAAGATGCCATACGACATAATGCTATGAAAGTAGCTGAAGTACACCAGTCTTGCAGTGTCCACATCTGTTAGCTGTCGGATCTTCCAGACAGCAAATGCTGCAGAACTCAACCGTCCTGCCAGAGATGTGATATGGGGCCCCCATTGTAGTTTTTCATCTATGGTTATACCCAGAAAAGTAGTCTGTTTTACAAATTCCAATTTCTTGCCGTTTAATAATATGTCACATTCGTTACTTTTTACATTTGGTAAACTGAATCGTATACACTTTGTCTTTTTGTCGTTTAGAACTAAATTATTAACTGTAAACCAGTTATGAACCTTCGTAATAGCATTATTTACTTCGTCATAATTATTTGTCCGTCTATTTATTTTAAAAATCAACGATGTGTCATCAGCAAATAATACCATTCCCGGTTCTCGCTGAAATAAATGAGGTAAGTCATTTATGTAGACCAAAAATAGGAAAGGACCTAATATCGAGCCCTGTGGTACGCCCATAGATATGCTAGCACCCTGAGAATTAACTTTGTTTACCTGTACTTTAAGCTGCCTATCCTGGAGGTATGATTTTAATAAATTGAGTGAAGCCCCTCGAATACCATAGTGTTCCAACTTTAGCAACAGTGTCTCGTGTTCGACGCAATCAAAAGCCTTGGACAGGTCACAAAAAATTCCAATAGCGTCGTGCGACTCCTCCCACGAGGCAAAAACACGCTTAATTAAAGTTACACCGGCGTCAGTTGTGCATCGACCTTTGGTGAACCCATATTGTTGATCATGAAAGATGGAATTCATGTTAAAGTGACGCAGCATCTGAGAAAGCATCAGCTTTTCAAACACCTTACTAAGCACCGGTAAAATAGATACCGGCCTATAATTATTAGGATCGGTATCATCGCCAGATTTAAACAGTGGAACTACTTTGCTATGTTTCATCAAATTTGGAAAAACTCCCTGATCTACACTTCTATTATAAATTAAAGCTAAATGAGGCGCTATAGCTTCTATAAAAGCCCTACACACTGCAACAGACATTCCCCAGAGATCCTCTGTAGACTTAACTTTAATGTCTTTAAACGCCTTTATTACTGATTGGGGGTTTGTGTACTGAAATTGGAAATCAGAACGGCATTCTTTAATATTTCTTTTGAGAAGACTAATTGAAAGTGCCGGAGATGATTCTAAGTCCTTTGTAGTTTCAATGGGGATATTCTTGAAAAAAAATTCAAATTCTTGTGCAACTTCCCGATTTACACTAACATGTCCATTATTTATCATATTTAGGGCTTCTTGTACGTATTTGTAAACAGCTAAGGTTGTGGATCTATTTTTCCGGAAACCGTTTTGGCAATCGTCTAATATTTTGTATTTTTCACAGAAGGAGTATACACGGTCGCACATAGCCTTCTCAAAAATTTTTGAAGCCGTAGGTAGTAGCGCTATGGGGCGGTAGTTGCTGGGGTCTGTTTTTTCATTCTTTTTATGGATAGGTTTTATTAAAGCTATTTTTAATTCTTTAGGAAATATTCCTTCATCAAATGATTGGTTGATTAAAAGATAAAAGGGTATTGTAAGTTCGTCGGCACAATGTTTAATTAATAATGGGGGTAGTTCGTCAATACCATGGCTTCTTTTGTTTTGTAGGTTTTTAATAATTCGGTTAACTTCGTATCCGTCCACTGGGCTGAGAAACATAGTATTTTCTGTAGGGCAAACTACCGGAGCTCCCATTGGTTCAGTTCCAGAAGAGTTGCTAATTTCACCTATAGATGCAAAGTAGTTGTTAAAAATGTTTGCTATATGCTTTGGTTCAGTAATTATGTTATTGTCTATGTTAAGTTTCAAATTATTTTTTTGTCTTTTTATTGTTTTGTTTGTTTTTTCGCTTATTATTTCCCACATGGTTTTAGTTTTGTTTGTAGATCTGTTTAATTTGTTAATATTTTGTAATTTTTTAGATGTTGTTACCGTTTTTTTTAGTATTTTTTCGTACTGTTTATAGTATTTTGTTAGAGTGGGTTCATTAGTTTTCATTGTGAGAATCTTAAGTAGTCTTTTGTTTTTACATGCTAGTTTGATGCCTTTTGTGAGCCAATGTTTTTTGAGTTTTGATTTTAATTTTACTTTTTGTAAAGGTATACATTGGTTTAAGTATTTTAGTAGTATGTTTTTGAAGTCAGTATAATTTTCGTCGATGGTTTTATCAGTTTTTATTATGTCCTGCCAATTTTGTTTACTCATTTCAGATTTAAATTTATTCATGTTGTCTTCGCTAAATAGCCTTTTTTTAACATACCAGATTATCTGTTTACTGTTATTAGTGGTCTTTATTAGCATGTGTAAGATTGTTGCACTGTGGTCAGAAAAACCTAGTTCTTCAATGGTAGTGTAGTTATTTTTTTTTATTAAAATTGGTAAATATTAAATCAAGACATGTTGAAGTTGTTGTAGAAATTCGTGTGGGTGATTTTATATGTTGTATGAATTTGTGTTCTAGCATGAAATCTAAGAAAAGGTTAGTTTTTAAATTATTATCTAAAATATTTATATTTAAATCGCCTCCTATTACAACATTGTACTTAAGGTATTTTTTATTTATATAATACATAATTTGTTTTATTTGGCACATAAATATTTCTTCTTCTTTTTTGTTCCAATAAATAGTTACTATTAGAATATTTTGCTTTGGTAATTCTATTGCACATGCTTCAATACAATATTCTATAGACATATCTCTAATATCACATATTTCCTTAAATTCTATATTTTCGCGTAATAAAATGCAGACGCCGCCGCCTCCTCGAGTGCGCCGGCAGAAGGATGCTGCAGTTGTGTAGCCGCTGAGGTGTAGGTTCTCTAGTTTCTCCTGGGACAGCCACGTTTCAGTTAAACATATGGCGTTATATTCTGGTTTTTCATTGATAAAAGCTTCTAGTAGGTGATGTTTATTATTAATACTTTGTATATTTTGGTAAAGAATTATAAATTTTTGTTCTGTAGTTCCGAAATGTATTGTTTAGAGGGGCTTCGTTGTTGTCGGATTGGTAGTTTTTGTTAGTTATTTGTTTATTTTCTTGTTGGTTTGTAGGCGTTAGGTAGGATTCTTTGTCATCTTTTAGTGTTACTTGTTTTCCGTCTATAAATAGTCTGTTATTACGAATTATTGCATATTGACCGTTTTTCCGGGTTTTCATTTCTTCGCGAAGTAAATTTCTATGTTTGCGTGCGGTTTCATTTAAGAATTCAGTTATAAATATCCCAGTTCCTTGAAAGTAGTTACCGTTTTCAGTTATATACTTAGACATTCTTTTGCTTAGGAGCTCGATTACTAAAGGTCGATTTTTAGTATTCTTCCTTCCTATTCTATAAATTTCTTCTATGTAGCCCGTCAGGTCTACATTAAGTATTTCATGAAACATGTCTATCAATCTACTGTGTAATTCCCATTCAGTTTCATTGTGCTGTTCAGAGAGGCCATAAATCACAATTTTTTTCGAATTGTTTTCTGTGTGTTTTGGTTCTGAGATGGTTTTCATGGTTTGTAATTCTTTAATTTCCTCTTTCAAGGTTTCGTTTTGTTTGTTTAAATCTTCAATCTTTTTGGTAATGTTTTTTATTTCTAGTTTTCTTTCCTCGTTTTGTTTGGATAATGTATTGGTTCTTCCTTCTAGTTCTTCTTTTAGTTTATATATTGCCTTGTTTATTTCGTCTTCAATCGTGTTTTTGATTTCGGAAATTATATATTTATTGTTTTCTTTTAATCTGTGCATTATGAGTTCACTCAAATTTTGAAGGGAAGGATTATTAGAGATGTGGTTTTCCCTTTCTTCTGAGCATATTGTGTCGCCAAGAAAGCTTGAATCGTCAGATAGTGTCATGTTGAATGAGGTGTTGTTTGGCTTCTTTCTAATCGTAATATTGTTTTCAGGTGTATTTGTTTTTTCTACAGATGGGTTTGGTGGTTTGGTCAGTTTGTAGTCAGGCTGTCGTATAGGTGTATTCAAGTTACCGGTTTTAGGTACTTTACAACGGCATGTTTGACATTTCCATAATTTCTTTTGTTCTGGAGTCATATTATTAAACACATTTGTAGAAATATTTGCACATTGTAGGTCAAAATTATCGTTGCAAAAATAACAAGCAAGGCTTTCTAACTTGGAAAAGTCTTGTTGACATCCTCCACATAAAGTTTCCATGTCTTCGGGTTTTTAAAATACTGCCCTCTAGTGTGCAATGGCGTCTCGGCCTCGATACCTTGTTATCGCTATTCGACGCTAGATGGCGTTGCTTGTGTTTTAGATTGTAGTGTTTTTGTTTTGGTTTCTTTTAATATGTTTATGGTATAAGTAAATATGTGTTAAATACCTTTTTTGTGCTCCTCAAATTTGCTCATAGTTTGTTTTTTGAATAATAAACACTATTTGGGCACTGAACTGTTTATAATTTTGAATCACAAATTTTGAAAAAGTTCGTTGGTTTAAGAACAACTTTCTTTGTTTTTTCCACTTTTTTTCCAAGATTTGTTTGTTCTATTACTTTAAACACTGCTAGTTATTGGGTTTTAACTTTTCGTTGGGTTTTTAAGAAGATAGATGCACTTTTACTATTTTTAACATTTAAAATGCGCGGAGCTATTTGTTTACGTGCGCACTGCAGCGCGCACATGATAGCAGATCGTGCTTGATTAGCAAGTATCAGTACAAAATATAATAATTCCTACAGGAATATGCCACGGTGTATACCTTTTTTGGCCCGGAGGTTAAGGAGCCCGCTTCTCATGCATGAGGGTGCGCGTTCGAAACCTGGCAAGTACCAATGTCACTTTTTCCGAGTTATATGTACTTTCTATGATTATTTAGACACCACTGGCATACGGTGAAGGAAAACATCGCGAGGAAACCTGGACTTATAATTTCTAATTATAAGTTTGAAATCGCCAACCCGCATTGAGCAAGCGTGGTGGTTAATGTTCAAATCTTCTCTGTGTGAGAAGAGGCCTTTGCTCAGCAGTGGGCACTTATAGGCTGATGATGATGTATACCTTTTATTGATTTTTTTGTGAGGGGGTATGAGACTTATTGGCTAAAACCTGCTCTAGACCGAGGCCGCGGTACCTTATTCGCTGCATAACAAACTATATCGCTATACCTATCTACTGTATAACAACGTACCTATAGAAAGTGGTTTCATCAGGCGAGTTGTTGAACACTTGCAGGAACTGTGAACGTCGCAGATGATACATGAACTGTGGGTACAAGCTGAAGTTCTCAGACAGGCGGAAGCTGTTCGGATCGTCTTTGCCGTATTCGCCAAACTTCTGACACTGTGGACAGAGGAGGAAATGATATATTTAATAATTATGTATTCCGATACATTAAATAAATATATTAATAGATTGATATAAAATTACAGAGATCTTTTAGTATGATAGTAACATATAGCCAAAAAAAATTCCTTCTTATATTTTTTTATAGCCAGGCAATAGGACAGATAAAATTTAACATCCGGCATTCATTACATGACATTCTCCTTTAAAATCTTAAACATACTCTATCTATCTTCTTCTTTAATTCTTCGTTTTTAAAAATACTAGGATATTCTCCTGTGTCGTGGGTGCGTTTACAAACATAGAATTTCACAGCCAGACCCGGAACAACAACTTGTGGGTCACACAAAGAGCTGTTTTGTGAGGGAATCGAACCCGTGACACGTTGCGCGACAGCCAGTTACCCAGCCAACGCGACAACCGCGCAATCAAATCTATGTCTATAATTGTGTTATATGCCTTTATTTGAAACAGAAGACTTTATAATACATTTTCAATTCTTACCAATCTGATAAGCATCCTATCAAGCCAGCGTAGTACATCGGGTCCGTCCTCTAGCTCAGCGCGGTAGACTACAAGGCGGGCCATCACTACTGCGGCCGCTTCCTGGTCGAAACCGGCAGATATATGGTGCAGGCTCACTGCCGCGTCACCCCAACTAAAGAGAACAAACGTTAATTACTACCTGACTTGATATCCACCCAGACATACATATACAGCCATGAACAGCCCTATCATTATCGAATGGTTAACACAATATTTTTAAGTTTAGTTTAGTTTTATAAGGTCAAAATGTATGTTTTATGGATTTATTACAATAATAAATGTGTGCTAATTATTGTCTGTTTTATTTGAGCACCAGAATCGGTTCCCCTAATATGTCCCTCGTTTAACGTACACGTAATGTCATATCTGCAGCTGATCACTGTACATGTAATATCTATACTAATATTATAAAGAGGTATAAAATTTGTAAGTTTGTATGTTTGTAAGTTTGTATGTAGGGGGCAATCTTTAGAGGCGCTGGTCGGATTGCCAAAATTATTTCACTGATAGATAGCTACAATGTTCCTGAGTGCTATAGGCTATAAAACATCACGCTACGATTAAATGGAGCCGAGCAGCGGGTGAAACCGCGCGAGAGTAGCTAGTTGTATATATATATTGGTCTCACTTGCGCGCGACAGTGGTGACTCTGACGCGACGTTGTCCGCTGGAGTGCTGGTACTGCGTGATGAACTGCACGCAGCCACGCCCGCCCTGCGGGACCGCTGCGTGTTGATTCACTACCTGGTAACAACATAACAAGTTTAGGTAGATAGGTATATCAATTGTATGCTTGTAATGTAATAACTTACGATACAGGAGACAATCTTAGTATGGGCTTATACTAGCAAAAACAAAGAATTATCAAAATGGAAATACAAGTGAAACATTTATAAATCTATGTATATGAAGGCATCGGGGGTCGGTACCAACATCAACATCCCGATCATCGTCGTCACGGTCCATCACAGGGCGTAGGATTTTATAATCATCATCAGCCTATAAATGCCCACTGCTGAGCAATGGCCTCTTCTCACAAGGAGAAGGTTTGAGCATTAACCACCACGCTTGCTCAATGCGGGTTGGCGATTTCAAACTTACAATTAGAAATTATAAGTCCAGGTTTCATCACGATGTTTACCTTCACCGTATGTCAGTGGTGTCTAAATAATCATAGAAAGTACATGTAACTCGGAAAAAGTCACATTGGTACTTGCCAGGTTTCGAACCCACACCCTCATGCACGAGAAGCGGGCGGCTTAACCTTCGGCCACCACGACATAATTTTATAATCAGACCGAATAAATTACAAAACTAACGGACGTCGGCGATCCGTCTCATATGACAGTCACAGCGCTCGCTCTCACCATAATGCGCACGCAGTTTGACGTTCCGCCAGAGTACGATTCATTGCACTCTCGCCGATGAAATTTGTTAACTAATAAAACCTCCTTCAAAATTATGTTTAAATAACTGAAGCGCCGTCATATATAAAAAAGAATCTCAATATGTCTTGGTAAACACATAAATCAAACGAGGACAAGACCAACTATGCCAAACTGTTTGAAACCGTCATTCCTACTTGTTCCGCAGTGAACACTTATAAGTAAGCTGGTGATGGTATAGAATAAACATAATTTACCTCAAAGAATATCGCCATGGTAGTACTAGGTGTGAAGGTGCACATCTTCCACTGGCAGGTGTTGCCCATGCCGACCTCCTGGTCGGACACACACGGGCCCTTCACGTTCAGCGACACGCACGAACCGATCGCTCCAGATACTGTATAGTGACAATTATTCATTTTTTTATTTATAGGTAAATATATCCTTCGAACTGAGAATTATAGTCTAGGCTAAAGTATTAATACCGACCATGAATATCTATGTTAACTGATTAAGATATCGAATTATTTTTAATAGATCTGTTAAGTAGTTTCTATCCAATATTTGGTAGTTTGTTAGTTGAATAGTATACTAATATTACAAAAAAGATTTTATCATTTATAATATCATTTTCATGTAGATCTATTAGATAAAACTGTATGCGCCATCATAACAATGTGTATTAAATTCGTTATATGGGTTAGAACTTAAAGGACATTATGTAATAAAGACTATTTTTGTTTGACTATTCAAAATACTATACTTTGACTATTCAAATTACCACACAACTTTATTCTTTAATATAACATAATAATATGACGTAAGTTTGTCTGTGCTCCATGCTTATAGCATTAAGTCAACCTTATGTACAACATTTTTTTTTTTGTGTAATAGGTCGGCAAACGAGCAGACAGATTACGTGATGGTAAGCAATCAGCGCCGCCCATGGACACCCGCAACGGAGGAGTTACAAGTGCTTTGGAGTGATTTGGAGATTTAGGGATTGAGGGAGGGGAAGGATTGGGCCTCCGGTAACCTCACTCACACGGCGAAACACAACGCTGTGGTTGTTTCACGCCGGTTTTCTGTGAGGCCGTGGTATCACTCCGGTCGAGCCGACCCATTCGTGCCGAAGCATGGCTCTCCCACACTTATTAAGGGGCCTGTAGTACCACTATAAACTTATGTGGTACCTATTAGAAGTATAACGTTTCATATTCAAATTTATCTGTTGTGTGGTGGCCATCAACTAATCCAAGCATTGTGAATAAGGCTCATAATGTGCAAACCATTTTAAATAGTTTGACTGCACGGTTGGATTTACTGTTTCGATTCCCGCAAGGAACACCTCTTTGTCCATCCACTAATTGGTATTCCGGGTCTGGGTGTGTGTGTGTATGTGAAATTGTATATTTGTAAACGCACCCATGATACAGGAGAACATCCTAGTGGAATCATTAAAAAAAAAACATAAATGAAAAATTAATATTTTTGTCTTTGAGAGTTTGCACTTACTTTTAAGTTCCCTACTGCATTTGACTTCCAAAGTCCCATTGAAAGCCATCTTGTAGTCTCCCCGTTGGTCCTTGGCGAAGACTCTCTGGAATGTCTGCTTGAACAGTGAGGAATTGAACGAGTCTCCCATCACCATGTGTCCGCTGCAGAAATAAGGAAAAATATAGGTAAATTTCACTTCCAGCTGACGTCATCCATTTTAATTGAGTGGCTATGGTAGAAAAAAGCTAAAGGTCAATTTTCATTTAGTTTTATTGGCGGTAGCCAGTAAAGTGTGCCCAGTAAACGACACAAACGGGCTGAAGTTTAATGATTTTTAGGAAAAATTTGTCTGCCCATTTCAAAGAACGAATGAGTGCACAGTTGGCTTGCCGCCGTGTAACGTATCGCGGGTTAGATTCTCCCACGGAATAATTATTAGTGTGATCATCAAATTGGTGTTCCGGATCTGGGTGTAACATACTTATACATATGTGAAATTGTGTGATTGTTAACGCACTCACATAGGAAAAAATCCTAAACAGGGGCAATATTTACTAAAAATATGAAAAATTCAGCACTACTCTTTTCCAATGAATAAATCTATCTAAAAAATATTAGAGAAATAATTTGGAGTGTTGAGTCTCAGATCACATTTAAATACAAAGCCTATCAGCTGTTTAGCATAATGCTTATCAAGCACATAGTTACGTGAATAATACAATATTACTAATTCTCGAATTAAAAACATAGATAACGAAGCATAGACAAATGCTTTTAATTGAAAGAAAATTATGAAGTTTTATATAGAGAGTCATAAATCATTGAAATACTATCTGAATCTGGTATCTTAATATAAATTTGTAACTGACCAGTAACAAATTGACTCACCCAGTAGAATTGCAACACTGCTTCATCTCCATAAGACCAGTCTGATCCAAAGCACAAGAGTAAATATCAATCGAATGGCCATTTGTCGCCGCCCTTAGAGAAAGAGCTTCGTAATGCTTGATAGCCTTCTTCATGTACTTAGCGTTATCCTTGTGAATATCGTGGTGGGAACGAATAGGCTGCTTCAGCTCATCATTGACGACCTGACCTGGGCCTTGGGAGCAAGGTCCTCCGAGGAACAGCATGATCCTACCACCAGTGTTGGGATAAGTCACTTCCAAAAGACCAACTGCCAAAGAGAGAGCAACTCCGCTGCTTCGTAGAGGTCTCTTTCCTACACCCAATGGCCATGGATCCCTTCCAAGTTCGCCAAGCAAATCAGTTAATGCCATATCACAAGTCTTGACAGGTTGTAGGAAGCGGTGCGCTGGTGGCTGCGGCGCGGGGGCGCCTGGTCTCTGTTGTGGATTTGGAGCGTTCACACGACCGATCGCCAACTGCTCTTGAATCTGTTTCGCTGTCAGGTCTTTGGTGCCTTTGAACACGTAGCATTTTGATATGCCTTCTGTACCTGAAATAAAGAATACATAAATGTTAAATATTGATCACAACAAAGTCAAGACACTATAACCATTTTCTGTCTTATCAGTTATCCAATGTAAGTGTGGATGTACAATATATGGATAATGTAAGTTACATAACTATTGAAGAGTATTTTCATGTAATACCTGTAATAGACATAAACAAAAATGTTAAAATCAACTGCAAAGATAAGCAAATGGATCTTAGCAGTACATATGAGTTTTGCATGATTTTTTTCTTTAAAACTTAAGCAGAAGAATAAAAACATTTTAAAAGACTAGAAAGGGGTACTGACTACTTTTCTTGTTATTTAAACAGTCTCACTAACCATCACTAAGCCAACAAGAAACATATCTGAAGACAAATTCCAATACAAATTAAACATGTTTTCAATATACTTAGTGATATTACAAAATAACTCACATCATCTGAGTAAACAAATATCATATACATGCAAACAATATGAACTTACCAAGCTCATGTATCTGCACCATACGACCAAATGTAATTAAACCAACAAGAGCATTCTGTGGCATTAAACTGAGGGAAGTCTGGAGTGAGTCCTTCAGTGCTCCGAGTTCCTCCTCATCCAGGCAAGTATCCACCACCAGAAGATAGATAGGAGGCATTGTCTGCGCCCGAGTAATAGTGTACTCTATGGTGGAAAAGTTGGGGATCAACTCCGCAGGCTGATGCTGCTCCGATATCGCTGAATATTGCGGAGGGAACTGAAATTTTAAAGGTTTTTATTAAGTGTACATTTTTACAGCAACAAAGCTTACAACTTGATCCCGATGTAAAGAGGATTGTAGACTAAGTAACTTAGCAATGCTACAAATAGGTTATTTTAGGATGACATATATCTGTTATATTTTATAATTATACCATGAACCACAAATTATTCAGTGTGCAAACTTGGAAAAAAAACATGTTATCAAATACAAATTAAGAACTTCCTTCCTTTTCGGAAGATGAGAGTGAATCATCTACAAACAAATGCCAGTTTACTAAAGATATTCAAAAGAGATTGCAAATTAATTAAGCAACCTTCAACATAAATTGTTGTATTACTCAACTTGTATAACATTATTCATACACAGTCATGGAAAAGGTAAACCAAAATAATTAGAATTTCAATATTCTAACAGATTTTTCAACAACATACTGGTAAGTATTAGATGTATTGTAAGGTAGTGTATGTATGTTTTTTTGTTTATTCCAATATCATTCTTATTAGAATGTTATAAGACATAATATAGAACAACTGCTAGTGATAGATATACTAGCCATCTTGAACATTATTATACTATGATAAAATAATGAAGAACTTACACATCAACCTCTTGATGAAATACAAAATAGAAATAAATAAACACTCCGATATATTATGAAATTTCAAGTAGGTTGTCCATATCACATATTTTACTACATTCTGTACCTACCAAACCCAAATGGTACCTAGAATAGCATTACCTAACTGTTAAACATAAAAGGTTTTAGAATTTAATGAAGAAATATGTTACTCACAGGGTTTCTCTGGAAACAGAAGTTGCAGGACCATAACTTGGCTCTGTAGTCCACCTGGCACATAGGATTCAAGATCGCCCTGCATGTATTTCGTGTACACAACACAGGTTCATACTGAATCGGTGGCAGATCTGGCCTTTCCTTCAGCGGCTGGTACAAACATGCCAATGGTACCACCAACCTAGTAGCCTCGATTCTACTTGAAGGCCATACATTCCACGTGAAACGTATTCCATCTCTATCTTCATTCTGCTGAATAAACTCCTCATACGTGGCCATATCGCTGATCTAAACGCGAAACATTAATAATTAACAGATTTATGAAATAGCGGATTATAAACACAAATATATCTGTTATTTCTATAATGTACGTACCAAGTGTGCTTGCAGCAACTCGAGTCTAGCCACATATGCAATAAATCACCGTTTTATTTAGTATTCATTCAGAAATTAGTTGTTATTGGGATTTTATAATAATTTTCAGCAGACGGGAGAGGCTGGCTGATTTGGCAATTGTCAAAATCATAGAGAAATCAGCTGTCACAATGGCCACGTCATTTTCGAAAACGCAACATACAAAAATTATTAATAAAATTTTTTATTTCAGTGATTACATTTAAATTGTATTATTTTTATTTTATATTTTCCAAGATAAAAAAATATTTTTTTTAGCTTCAACCAGAAAATCTTCAATTGGTTATGGTTTTGTCTACGGGTCAGCCAGAGACAAGAGAGTGTTAACCATAGACATGTTTAGCGTCTTTGTCTATGACCAAAAGTGACGCGTTCCTTTACGCACATACACGAACAAAAAAATGTGAAAAATAAATTAAAACATGTGTTAAATCGAAATTGAATGATTAAAATCATAAATACATTTAAGAACAGTATTCACAGTGATAATATACCAAAAAGCGTGACTTATTTTAGGAAATTATGAAATTTGTGTGTGGTATAAACAGTTTACTGACGTGCATTCTGACTAGTAATGAAACGTTCTTGAATGAAATATTTTTTTATTTTTAGGACATAGTAAATTATATTTCAATTATGGACATTATTTGTAAAATAATTCGTATTTAATGGTATAAGAACAAACCTACTATTATAATTAGTGGACACAAAATTAATGATATGTCATTGCTTTGTTTGAAGAGCAGGAAGTTTACGCCAAAAAGTGCGACTGCGCACTGGCCAAATTAGTAGTGTGAAAGAAAATGGCGATCAGCGAAAGGCGTCCGGAGTTAACGTGATGAAAAACATTGTTAAAAGCTCAATTACATAGTGTTATAGTTATTAATTGTGTCAGATGTAGATTAATTAAGTGTTAATGAATAGTGATTGTGTATAAAAATGGCTGCGAATATGTACAGAGTCGGCGGTAAGTGGCAATAATTGGTTATTTTTGTTGTAGCTTCGCCGGTTCACCGCCAGCCGACTAGCGGTGCTTTGCTTTGATTGTCGTACCTTCATTAATTGCTCACATTAATTAGTTCAGTTTGTTATATTTCTTTACTCTTCTGAATTCAAATAAATGCAATGGTTAGCATGTAAAACATCGCGACAAATGCTTGTTTGCGGGAAAGTTATATTTATTTTACCAAAATTCGTCAAATAGGACATTAGCATTTGCATCTAGGTATCATTGTATCGGCTTGCGTATCTGCGTCCAAATGGGTAGACTCGAAGCACCTTCAGTTATCTTATAGCAATTATGATTTTTGGGGGTTGTTTGATGTAGTTTTGATGGTTTCAACGCGAGATTTTAGGTTATATTCGATGTTGTCAAAACATTTTGGTGTAAGTAATATGTGTAAGCGGGGGTCGGTGATGCTTGATTCTTGAGTAGGTATACCGGGAATATGAGATAAGTGGATTTGTAGGTTATCAGACTTCGGTTTGTCATGTTTGGTATATTAGTGCCGGCGCTTCAGTGTCGCTGGTGTAGTCGCGGTGCCGGGCGCGGGCGCCTCGTGCCGCGCTCCGCGGACCTCGCGTCGAATGTTAATTAGCTCTTCCTTTTCTGTTAACTTCCTATCATATAGTGGTACTCACTTAAAATGTTATTTCAAACCCTTTGTTTTTGGTTTGAAGAATATTTTATTGTTATTCTATTTGAATAAACCTATAGGAATAATATACATTTATTAATTTAATTCATGCTTGATTCAAGTGAGCATTCTTACTTAATAATATGCTCCCACTACTTCTTGATAACATGTAAAAAATTACTAGTTTGAGGTGTTTTTTTTACTTACTTTCTTTTCACATGTATCTGAATTTGTCATTTTTGTGTTGACCTCAAAATGCTTGCATGCATAATACACTTGTATCTGACAAAGAATTACTTGACCTACATTCACTACCTTGGATTTTTTCTTTGGCACTGAACTTTATTAATATCATAGGGCCTTAACGAAATCAACTTTGCGAAGAAGCTAATAAACAACAATTGTTGTAGAAAAGTGTGATTATACCTTTAGCGATTGACATAAACAATATCAATACAAACAATTCTCTTTTATATCAATCAAGGTTATTTAAAAAGATCTATTTTAGTCTCATATTGATCCGCTCACTTGCTATAGTGATACTCAAATAGGTAAACAATGAAATGATTGATACTGATACTGGAAACTTTCCTTTAAAGCATTTGCTACTACAGATTATATCTACAGCATCTGTGTTAAGTAGAAAAATGCATAAACTATTCAACCAATGGTTTTTGACCCACCTGCTTGCAATCCAGTAAAAACAGAAAATAAAATGTTAAATTTTATGTTCCACTTATAACTAAGAATTTTAGATATGATATTTTATTCTTACTTAAGCCTGTGTAACCAGCAAAGAGTATGATTCAACAAGTTTTGAGATAAACCAGATTATTTTAGGAAGTAAATATAAAAAAAAAAACTAACTAAAAGTATACTAAGAATTTTATTAATCTCACACAAAAATAACACAAGTCTTCCCAACATATTCTTATTACACAAACAATTTTAATTTCCTAGCTATGACAGAAAATGTAAACTTCTCATTTTGTTTAATGTAACCTTCAGTCATGTGAAAGTATGAGTTCATTGACCTATTACTTAAGCATAGGCTGTACCTTGCCTGACTTTTAATATCTAGTGCTAGCTTGTACTTAAAGATTACTATAACAGAATTAAATGTAGACCTTTTCATATTTAATCATTATAGATGCAGTTTGGCTTTGAAAATGTATTATTCTTACAACTATTTTCCTCTTAATATCTCGCGCTAATAATAATAGCTAGTCACAATCACATGACGTAATTTTACACGTACCTATGTTCTGTCAACTACATATTTAGTAGCAAAATTCACTCACTAGTTCCTCATTAAACGGATAAGTGTTGAATTTTGATGATTTGACATTTAACTTAACATTAGAAGAAATGTCTATTTTGTTGTGAGAATTCTATTTAGACATGCTGACTATGATTTGCCTTATTTATATTAAAAACTGCTAGAATGTTATAAGTGAGTGATATCACGTCCGTCCCAGAACACCGTCGTGAAACAACGCTTATGTAGTTAAATTAATTAAAAATCGCGGGTTACTCACGTGTATACATACACGATGTCTCATGATATTTATTATAAAAAAAGCTTATGTAGTTGTTTCGCCGTGTGGCCAAATCGAGAATGAGGAGTCCCTTCTCCTTCCATAATCATCAAACCCCGAACAAGGTACTTACAAAAGATCGGCAACGCACTTTTTGGTGTTGCGGTTTTCTATATTAGCGCCTATTGTTATATTTTTTTAATAACTCGGCGATGGAGCAGACTGATTACTTGATGGTAAGCAATCAGCGCCGCCCATGGAAGTAGTTAGAAAATAGGGCATCCAGATCAGAGATCTGGATACCCTATTTTCCACATTTTAATCTTCTACTAACATATTATTTTAATCTGTTTCTTGATCATAATATTCAGCGGTTAAATTAAATGTTATTATGAAAACTTCATTTAAACTCAAACAAAAAACCAGACCAGAACTAATATCAACTTGTCTGTGTGGGAATTGAACCCACGACACTTCGTCTTTGTGGTTGAAGAACGTGTTATAATATTGCACTCAGTTGTGACCAGGGTCTTAACCATTAAGCCAAACGTGTCGTCGAATATGTAACAAAATAGCGAACCGCTTCATGCACTTTGTTTACATTAATGAGACGTATATTGTGTGACATCATTCATTCGATGCGCTTCCATATATGCAAGATTTCTCACTAACACAATTCTTGATGATGTTTTGCCACTTATTGACATATTCCCCCCCTTTCACCGCGTTCAAATAAAAACACTGTGGAAAATTTATAGCATGCTGCATCCAAGGATCATCATAAATTTCCCAATCTTCTATAACGCCTCCACATGAAAAACATGCTGCTTTATCATATGGATTATTTCCGTAATAAAAGAATCCAGCATCAGCCATTTCCATCACTAATCTTTTCTTTGAATTATTCGTCCCCCAGTAATAATTAAAGGATAATTCACGTATTTTGTATGCATTATACATATCATATCGAGGTTTATATTCAGTTTGAAACATATTTTATTTATTTGGTACTAGTTCTTGATGCTAATAATTATAAACATAAAATGACATTGCTTTAATGCTGCAAGCAATTTATAAACGTGATTGTACAGGATTGGGAGAGATAGTAAACATATTATAAAAAATTAAACAAGTTTTTTTTTATTTCATAAAAATTTTATTATCATGGCACCATTTATTTAAACACAATATATTTTTTAAAGCACATACAGAGTTATGATAAATACAATTATACATATCTTGCGAATGTTTATATTGATCATATAAATGTACTAAACTAGAACAACCCTTATCTTCTAAATTAAATATATTACTATTACTATTTTCTAAAATATGCTTTAACCATAAAACTTTTTCTGAACCTTTAACATAAACACATTTATCTCTTAATATATCGGAAACCAAAGTCTGGTAATTGGAATAAGGTACAAATCCTTCACTCCAGTATATCTTTTTGTTACGTTGAATCCAAAGAACTACCTTCTTTTCAGATTCCGTTAAATTTTTAAATGGAAATGGTGGCTTAACTAAAAACACTTGTAGTTTTTTGTTACACAATATAGCGATTTCTTTTAATATAAATTCACCTGCTTCTGTTCTAAATCCTTGAATATCAACAACAGCAATCATGATAATCTGCGCACAATGTTGCTGAGAGGTTTGTATTCCACAAGTCGATCGTTTATAATCAAACAATACGCAGTTGTCTTATCTGGTATTGGTGTGGAACATTCAACTTCTAACCGCACGTCCACTGGACCGGTTTTTAAACTATCGTTTTGTCTTGAGCAATCTAAGATGAAAAGGGGAGCCTTTTCTTTAAAATCTGTTAGATCTAGCAATGGGTCAACAGGACTGTTGTAATACGACTGACGAAATTTCACATACATTTCATATAATATACTGTACTTGTTCTCAGAAAACTTTA